AAATTTTGTCTATATTCCTCATAAAAGTTTAACTATTTAGAAAAGATCTTTAAAGAATATGCCATTATATAGAAAAAAGTTCGAAATTTTCTGTTCGACGATGCTTATTTTGTTTGAGTCGTACGTAATTTTTTTTTCGATACTTCTGCTATTACACCATGAAACTCAGTGTCTTAGAATACAAAAACAAAAACCCGTTTACTATATATTTAATTGTACGTCAGTGTTATTGGTAACTATTGTGTCAAAAAAAATTGATATTATCTTCAAATGATCTTGATTTGGTGTAAAACAACAAATTATTAAAATTAATAAACACAATTTTTAAATTCTAATTGGAGCAAAGAAGCGTATAGTTTTACAAAGATGTTTTTTTTTCTGCGGACAACTTTTCTACCACAGGGCTTGCTCCGATTTTTAAATGTAGCAACTTTTCTGAAAGGAAATCGATGTGAGGAGATACCTCTAAGAGATTCATCAAATGCGAAAAACCAAAAAAAAACTGAAGAAAAAATGTACAAAATATATTTGTATAATATTGCGTTTTTTTTTTTCTATGAACAACATTTCTACCAGCAATTTTGCTCCAGCTTTTAATGATAGCAATGTTTCTGAAAAGAAATTTCACTGGGAAAGTACTATAAACAAGCCGTTTTTCGATTTTCGCAACAAATGTGAAAAACTGGCAAGAACAGGAAAAACGGGGAAATCGATATAACATGAAATAATTATTATTAAAGAAAATATATAGAACTTACTTAATTATTAAAAAAAAATGTATAAATTGGAATTTCACATTCAGACACCAAAAATATTATTATTCTATTTGGTACTATTCTAACAACTGCAAATGTGTCAAGTTCCGACCTCTGTCGTTAGTTTGAATTAAATTGTATCAAAATTGTTATTAAACATTTTTGATTACCTGGCGATTATACTTTAATCGGCGCATCTAAGTTCTGTAAGGATATATAGAACCATTAGCTTATTTACAGGCCTGTAAACTAACTATTTACAGAGCCAAATTAGTATCTGTAACTCTTCGCAGAACGATTTACAGATCGATGTTATCGTTTTATCAATGTTATTATTTCCGAAATTTCTGATCGTTTTTTTTGTTTTGGAATTTATATATTAACCTATATATATAACCTATTGCCATAATATGTCCGGGATAGATCGAATACACTGATTAAGTTAGATGATGTAGATTTCAAACAACGATTCAGATACTAACTTAATAACAAAATAATAAAATGGGTTTATTTTTTTTTTTTTTGGCAGGAAGATGCCACAATTTTATAACTTATCATTGTTCAGATTTTGGTTATCTACTCGAGTAAGATAACCGTGGTTTAGGGTTATCAAATAAAAATTGTTTAATTTATCCGTTAATGGCGTCAACCATAGTTATTATATTTTAATTTACAGATTCATTACAAATTTCTTTGTGCTATACATTTACATGTTACAGAGCCATTATAATTAATAGGTGTCTGTAATATAATAAGTTTAATGTAGTATTTTTTTTTTATTAAAATCAAATTTTGACGAAAATCGTCAATATTACGGCCTTTCAAAACTTGTATAACCGAACTTCGAAATCAATCGTGAAATCATTTGTTCCCGCAATAAAGCCATGGTTTCATGTGCTGTATGACCATCTCGTTGAAACCAAATGTCAAAAAGTCTCTTATCATATCGCGATAACGAGGGCCATTCACAGTTACGTTCTACCCGGCCTCATTTTTGAAGAAATATGAACCAATGATTCCACTAGCCCATAAACCACATCAAACCGTGGTTTTGTCTGGATGTAATGGCAACTGCTGAACCTTTTCGGGTTGCTCTTCATCCCAAATACGGCAATTTTGCTTATTAATGTAACCATTAAGCCAAAAATGAGCCTCATCGCTGTATACAATTTTAGTCGAAAATAGTGAATTTTCTTCTAACCTCTCAAGAACCCATTCACTGAAACAGTGACGATTCGGAAGGTCGGCCGGCTTCAATTCTTTCACGAGTTGAATTTTATATGCTTTTAAGCCAAGATCTTTCCGCAAAATACGCCAAGTCGTTGCATACGACAAGCCAAGCTGTTGAGAACGGCGCCGAATCGATTCATCACGGCTACAATTCCAGCTACCGCCACTATATTTTCTTCACTACATTCTGGATGTGGTCTGTTTGGTCGTGTGTTATCCAATAAAGAAAATTGTATAACTGTAGAGCGAATTGTGCTTTCGGTAGACCGGTTATGCTGACCATAAGTTTGTCTAAGCTTACGAAAAACAATCCTAGCAGAACGCTGATTTTCGTAATACAGTTGAATAATTTGTAGACGCTGTGCCGGGCTAAGTTTTTTCATGATAAAATTTCAAACAACACTGAACAAAAATGCCATAACAGTTTGATACGACTCACGCGTTATCTGTCATAAAATTCCATTTAAAAATAATACCTCTTAATGAATCACCCATTACTTTGATTATTGACGACTTTGTGAAAAACCTATATATGTTTTAATATCAAAATTAACGTGTTTAAAAATTTAAATGTGGATAGATTAGTAAATGACACAAAAAAAAGAAAAACACAATTCGATAACCCTCAAGTTTCCAGATAATAATAATAATCTACATATTGTTAAAATAAATTCATTAAGTTCAATTTACTAATAAATGTTTACCATTAAATTACAAAAAATAATATTAAAGCAGTAGACAAGAACAAATGGTTTTTACTACCAGAAACATCAAACACTAGCCTTCATACTCACGAAAAATTAGATTCAACCATAATGGTTGAAATGTCGGAAGCGATCACCATCTTTGATAATTTATAATCATTTATATGTTATATTTCGTACAAAAATTTGATCACAGATTATTTTTATTTCATTTTCAACTGTTCGTCAGTGTAAAAGCAAAAAGAATGCGAGGAATCTGGTGGATTTTCATATCTAGAACGTTATTTGTGTTATGAATAGTACTTCCCTGAATTCCATTTAGGTGAAATATGGTACCTTTTTACTATTGAACCCGTAATACTTTTCAGGTTTTCCTTATCTGCATATTATGAACGAAACCTTACTAACCTTACTAATAGATGTGGTTAGATTTATAGGAAGGAGTGTACTGACTAATGTCGTAATAAGAAAGGCGATGATCATAGGGATGATTTACTTCATTGAAGATTTAATTTTCCAAAAAAACGTATATATTTTATAATATAAACATTAGCGTGTTTAAAAATTTGAAATAGAAAAAATTAAAAATGTTGATAAAATCGTAAATGACGCAAATAAAAGAAAAAACAATCAATACGTAGTACTTATGGGCTGATATCGATATTGCTTAGATAAAATAATGAATTTTTTTTTTTTGAAAGTCGATGTTTTGGAACAATATTTTTTTCTTTTTCTGCTTGGCTTTACGGATCTGTATTCTCCGTAGCTTTTCTCCACTACTTTTTCCGGATTTCCGGCACCGCTAACGTAATGTCCTGCTTAACACAGTATTCTCATTAAATACCTTAATGATCAGAGCAAAAAAAAATAATAGCCGATACTGCGAAAAACGATTTTGAGCGTAGTTCGTTTATACCTTATATTTGAAGGATCGTAATATTTATGATTTCCATAAAAATCAGATCTTATAAAAAAAAAAAAATTAATACGTACAGTAACGCTCTCAATTTTTTTTATTTTACCTCTAAGCGTCACTATTATAATAGACCTACTGTTAGATATTCAATGTTAAATGTCTATTTGGTCAAACAACTATATATGTATATCCACTTACCTATAGTACCAAAAAATAAAAAGGCGAAATTAAATCCTTAAAAATGTAGTAATTTTACAAAAGAAAAATGTTAAATGTTTAAACTAAAATTCACAAATTTTGAAAAAGAATTTACCACCACCTCAAAATTCACCGAAACCGTCCCCCCCTTTCACCCTTAATACGGGTTCACAAAGCGGATATTATATTAATATATTGTTATATAGGCAGTAATAATAATGTACTCTGGGAAAATACACACCACGTCAATCATATGTTACGTTTCAGTTTATTTATCACTCGGCAACAAATTTTTTTTTTAGCTCTTGTAATTTTGCTTTGCCTTTAACATTGAGTCCGAAAAGTTGTTTTTTGTTGTCGCTCTTAATCTGTATTTCAGCGTCATTTAATAAGGATTTATTAAACTCAATCAATTGATTTAAAGACTTTTTTCTCGTTTTTTGTTAATAAAATATTTAATAATTTATTTGTTTCAAATATTTTCAATATTTTTTTCTTGTATTATACTCGTGCAATAATAATGGTGTCTGCTACGTTAAGTTTGGTTTGCTGTATCGCAACATTTATTACTAAGCGCAGTGGAACTGGTACAATTCGTAATCACGTTGATAAAATATGTGCAATTGTGTATTTTTTTTAAATTAAAACAGCCGCACGAAATTAACTCCCTAGATTTTTCTTCCGGATCTTTAAAATGATCAGTATAAATGCATTGTACAAATGAAAATACAATCCACTCTATGGACTTCGTGAATTTTAATCAGTACGTGTAAGATAATTTTCGGTTCATTGTATGGGGTTTTTTTTCTTGAAATCTTTTGCTGTTAATTTCACGGGGAATGTAGAGATAGATATAATCATAGTATTATATTATTTTTGATATTTTTAGTGTTTTAGAAATTCGTATACTGTTAACAGAAAATCGTAACTTTATTTACAGAGCATTCATACAAATTGTAGAACCAGAAACAACTATTCTTAATACGTCCGAGATAGTGACTACTACCTTTCCTGAAACTTTATTTCCGGATGTTATTATCGGTCCAGACCGACACTACTATGCAACGCATCTTACCGCCGGCCAAAACACAACCCATTACCAATTCGTCAAGTGAGTATAGCTATAATTATTTTAAAACACTAAATTTTCAACATCAGAATCGTGTACATTTTAAAGTTAATTATACATTTCCGAAGTAGAGTCTGCCACCCTGACTGGAGTATCGCATCCGGATGCTACTGTCGGTCCAAGCCAGACCGAAGGTACAACGCAACGCATTAAACCGCCGGCCAATACAAAATCTCCCATTCGCAGTGGTTCGCCAAGTGAGTACAGTAATTAATATAAAACTGGATCGTGTATATTATAAAGTTAATTATTTGTTTACACTAACTTCGAACCGATTAAAATACTATCTGCACATATTTTTTTTTTTTTTTTTTTTATTAAATATGTTAAAACTACTCAACTACTTCAACTATTGAGGTTATTAGCCTTTATTAATTACAAAATATTGTTTTTAAGACTATGGAGATCCATTATTATTGTGATTCACAGCAGGGGAAATTAGTGCGATATGTTTTTTTTTCAGTAGTTTGATAAGTCTATGTTAATGAAAAAATTTTGTATGTTTTTGGAGTTTTCTTCGTCATAAAAATAATAACAATCTTAAATTATTCCCGACATGAACAATAATTATACCTATTATAATTTATTGGAAATTCGAAAGCATATTATCTCGAATATAATAATAATTAAGGGGAGTTACAGAAACTGTTAAGTTTTTCCGGTATCGTTAAATTCGATAATTATTTCGTACCATTTAACGGTAAAGATAAGTCTTTTTCGTTAATCTATACCGTCCGAACACGACCGTTTTTATACGGACTTTAAAGTTAAAATAATATTCGGTCAAAATACCAGCAGGAATTTAATTTACGAATAAAAGAAATACCCTTTGTATACCCTATACTTTATTTTTATGAGTTGTCAACGTGTCGAGTTCTAAAGAAACCAACACAGTTGCAACGGTCGGATCTGTGAAACGTCGCAAATAAACAATACATTTTATTTTTAACGTGATGAATGAACATAATCTACAAACCAAGGTTAATTTTATTATATTGTTATTTACTTACACGAATTAAAACTAGTACGAATAATTTTAGTCAAATACGCTGTAGCCGGTGTAATAATATATGTTAATATTTTTTTTATTTTATTTTATATCATATATATAGTGCAATAAAGTAAGAAATATAATCGTCGAAACCAAGGAAAAATGCCTACCGTGGTTAGCGCGGTATATTGTTACAAATCGCATTAACATAGAATCAAACCACCATACAGTATACTTAAATTTTTTAAACTCGTTGAACAACGAAAAACTCAACGAGTTAATAATGCTGGAAACAGAAACAAATATTAAAGTGAGTAGGAATATTTTTTTTTATTTTTTATATGATGATTAGGGAACAGATTTATATGTTATTAAAATCCGCAAAAATATTTTAAAAAAGCAAAAGTGGTAGAGTGATTTTAAAAGTTCACTACAATAATGGTTCTAACCCATTAAATAAAATAGTCTAACGCTGACAAATGATTAACAAGAAGTACTTTTGTTTTTGTAAAACTTACAAATTTATTTATTAAAAATCGTTTTATTCTAATCATTTTTGTAGTGTAAAAAAACAATTGTTAAGTGAGAGCCATTGGATAAGGGAACTTTAAAATCTGTCTACCATTATCTCTTTTTCAAATTTTTTATAAGCGGTTTTCTAGGACTTTTTTTTGATGTTTTTAAGCACTTTCTTGTAAATTTTAAGTGTGTATAAATCCGTTTTCTCATGATATTGAATACGATATATTTTAAAATAATATCTCGCGTATCTCGTTAGGTTAGGCATTGTTGAGTCGGGACGAGGTGAGTACTATTTGTAGGAAAACGTTGAACAATTTGGGAAGTTGGTACGGAATGATGACCCTGGCCAAGAATAAACCGATTAGTACGACGTTTGAAGACTTGAAGACATTATTGATAAAAGCGTATCAAGGAGGAGAGGACAAATTGATGTACACTCTGCCGCTTGTAACGAGAATTCTTGAAACTTGCTAATAGCACAGTACGTCGAATACGTTTCATTCTTATCGATTTAATTTCTGATGATTTGTTGGTATAATATACTTCTATTTTGTTTTATCATAGGTGTTTAATACTACCAGCTCGTGGACCTTGGATGTATTATACTGTTTGAGTGATCTGCACCGTCAACCGGATTTGAAATTGAAGTTCCAATTTGAAATAGAAATTGTATGCAAAAAATTAAAAATTTAACTCAAGGTGAAAATATCAATAATGTTATACAATCATTATTTGTAAACTCAAATCGTATATTTCTGGTATTTAGGATTTAAAGCCTGCAACGAGTTATTTCAATAAAAATGCATAGAAAAATTGTTGTGTACGAACCTCTTACAATTGAAAAAGAAATTTGTCTTCTCGTAATTGTCTGCGTTGTCTCTCTATCGGGTCGACAGCGGTTTTTGGATCTAATTTTTTTCTATAATTAATTGTGTTTTTACGAAACTTAATAAAAATATAAACCCGTTGTTAACAATGTGTAGTTTTTTTTTCAGTTTTGTAGTGTTTTTCTACTATGATTTTATCGAATTTATAGTTTAAATAATATAATGTTATAAATCGAAAAAAATTGACTGTGGATATTACCGATTCGTAAATCACGATAAAAATAAATAGCCTATTAAGTAGATTTATATGCACACGCATTCGCAGTGTCTAATAAAATGATGTCAAAATACTTCTAAAAAATGCTGTACACCGTGACAGTGTGTAACCATGGCATTTAATGGCCGGAAAAAGGGGGGCGAGTGGAAACCAAGAAGAAAAAAATAAAAGATAAATGTTTTTAATCTGAAATTTTTTCTATGTTTTATTTTCGGTTTTGCTCAATTATTTAAAAAAAATAAAAAGGAAAATCAGCAAACGACTATTTTATTCACAAACTGGTTCCGAGAAATGCAACGAAAAATGTATCGAGGCGTTTTTCGATCAAAACAGTATTAAAGAAAAAATTAAAAACAATGAAATCGGTAATGCCGCGGAGGTTTTTTTGGAATATTTGGAGTTTTTCCCAGTTATTTGAAACCCCTTTGGAAAATTAAAAAATTGACTATAAAGTATTGATTCTTTAATTTGGACAAATTAATTTGTTTTCGGTTAGTTAAATTTATGTTACGAATGACAAGAGGGACGATAAAATGTTTTTAATAATAAAAAAAATGTAACATTTATTCTTCTACAAAAAAAGGAATTAAATTAAATTGAGTTGAATCCAGTTAAAAGCCAGTATATCATCAAAATGGGATTTATAGAAAATACAATTTTATGTACACCTAGTAAAGATGTGTTCAGTCGTAAAGTTTATTATTTATACATTTTTTACAAATTATATTAATTTCTATCAGTGACCGCCTGGTCAAGGCAGCTAGGCAACAATCGCTGCCCGGGCCCCTAGCTTTTTTATTTCTACCATATAGATACATGGAGTAGGTACATAGGCACATTATAATTCATAAATCTAATCGACATAGGTATCTATATAATACAAACTCCTCCCACCAAACACTAAAGAACCACCCGGCGGCGTGTAATATATTTCGACAATAATCAGAAAAGTTCGGAAATAAACCGCCTGTTCTCATAATACGAGTATAACTGATTATATCATAACATAGTCACGTAGATTCTATACACTTTTAGTTTTTTCCATTTACGATAATTCTTGTAATATTAACACTTATATAGTGTAATTTTTCTAAAAGAAAATTCGACTGGAGAGGTTCTTTAGGGAGGTCATTTTTCAATTTTCCCAGAAAATGCGAAAAGCCGGGAAAAACGTAGGAAAATCGGGAAAATCGATACAACATTAAACAAATATTATTAAAGAAAATATATAAAATATATTTAATTATTTTCCTATAATATGACATAGGTATATATTGTTTACAGGTGTACATTAAAGTACCAATAACAGTGAATGCACCCGTCCCCATTATCCTAGGACGTCTTTTTAATATTTACTTGTATACCAGAAGTAATAAATACAAAGGTGAAATTAATTTTAATTTTTAATAAATTACTGAATGAACTGCTTATATCTGATGACTTAATTTATCTACTTAACACAAATATGAATAATGAAAACAATATAATATGCTAGTAGTCAGGCAGATTAGGCCCCTAAAAACAAATCTTGCCTGGACTCTTCGATAACCAAGTCAACACTGATTTCTATAAAATATACGATTTTCTCGAAGTTTCACGTTTATAACACAGTACGTAACAATCTACGTATTTAATAAGGATAATTTTGGTATATATTTATACGTAGTTAATATTCGTATATTATTAGTATAACATATGTCAATAATACTTGTATTATAAGGTTGGTCGAATTTTGCGTCGATTATGTGTAAAGATATACGTATACGTACTTTCGAGGTTTCATCGATAATCTTGAACTGTCTGAAAAAAAAAATACAAATTAATAGTAGGTATATTACTTAGGTATAAATAGTAGCTATACTATTGTTAATAGAGATTACAGGATACATTTTACCTACATAGTTTACTTGTTTAATAGACAAGATATTATAGAATAATATTTTATTATAAAATATCTCAGTATTCTTATAGATCTGACTGCAACGATAAACTGGATTATTCAACGCTATTTAACTTAATTACCATATTAATATTACAATATGTGTATTAAAAATATTATATCGTATCTTCCATTTTTTGTAATATAGATTTAAATAACCGAAAGCAAATCATTTTTTCCAAATTAAAGTATCATCCCGGTTTTTGTATTTTTCTTCGAAAATAATAGATATTCATAGTATATTGTTAATACTTCTTTTATAGACAATTAAACGCTCTATAGTAAATGTTTTATATATTTTTATGTAAATTGCTATATTTTACAAATTAAATACGAAAGTAGCCTCTATGTACATTTTTCAACCTTCTATCGGCACAGAAAGGAGTTGGTTTATCATGACCAAATTTACCTATATATAACCTATATATACTAATTCCGGTAGCCAAGTTGTTGCGATTTTTAAAGAGACACGAACTTTTTCCAAGAAACGCTCTAGTGGAAGATAAATACATTTGAACAAATGTGATTTGGAAATTGGAATAAAAATATATAGTTTGAAAATCTAAGCCTTGGTACAAAACCAGTGTAATTTCAGCTGTTAACACAGGTATTATATAAAATGCTGTTTTATATATCTGTGGCTGTTAATAACAAAATATAGTCGTTGGAATAAATGTTTATTGGACGTTGGACCAAAAGGTGAAATGTGGAACAACAATTATGGTTCGAACAAAAATATAGTGGAACAAGTATTTTGTGGAACAAATGGTGTAGGTCCGTTAGGGCGTCAGGCACTTTTCTCGAAGATAAGAATCCGAAGATAACAAAATCTGAATCAGGTACAGCAACTTAAAAAACTAAATTCTCGGCAAATTATTATCACTTTTCCCTATTATCCACCCGACGTGGTTTTGCACAATAAATCGAGGGTTTTCTTCGATTAAAACAGTCCGAGAGAGCGAGTGACCCCTCCAGGTGCCATATTTACGACCGTATTAACATTAAACAGGGTAAAGTCAAAATACATAATATATTTCATGTTTGTGCATTTAATGATTCTAGATTCCCATATGAAAATGTTCGATTTAGTTAAGGTTGGTGTAATTTGTCATTAGTGTTTTAATTTTTTCTTCCATGGTTTCGGGAAAAGTTACCCCATCCTGGTCAGTTGTTGACATAGGTAATAGAGGAGAATGATAATAATCGCGGTGTTCGAAAACAAAATTATTGCTTTCAAACTAAATAAATAATGTAATATATTAATAAGATATGCAAAACATGAAAAAGGCGTAGTTGACTTTTAAATGTTAATTGTTCATTGTTAACTGTTAATATTTCTAATTTCTAAATTATAATTATATTTTTACCCTATTAGTATTATAAATAACGTTTTAATTAATTATCTTTTTTATTCATAAAACCCAATTTATTTTCATTCTCATAATTTAAAATATTTAACATTATGGAGATAGATGATAATTTTCCTGCAGCTATCCGAATTGTTACTGAAATACAAAATATAGTTAGTAAAGACCCTAAACTGTAAGTAAAAGAAAAAAAAACAGTAAATATTATGGCTTATATTATTGTAGTTTTATTATAACAGATATGCAATTACATTATTTATTATAGAAAAGAATTTGACCTAGTCATCCAACCTGAAAGTCAGAATAAGTCTCCAGTGATATACATTGACCACTGTTTAGGCCTTGAGTCATGGTGTGTACGTCATGTTTACAGATATGTGTACCAAAGACTGATTACTATAAGAAAACGATTAAAAAGACCAGGTGGTACTATTATAAATTTATGTTGAATAGATAAGTATTTATTACCTAAAGTTTAATTTTTAATTATATTCTTTTTATAAATAATATTTTGTTTAGTGTCTAACGAAACAATAACTTTACTCACATCTGCCCTTTTATTAAATCCCGAAGTTACAACTTTTTGGAATATGAGACGTGAGTTAGTAATTGATGAATATTTAAAACCTAATGAAGAATTACGTTTTTGTGCCGTTGTTTTAAAATTTAAACCAAAATCTGCTGAAATTTTCAACTATAGAAGATGGATATTATTTCATGTTTTAAAAGGTAATTCATTTCAAGTATAAAGTATGGATATATTTATTTTAGTTATTAGAAAATAGTTTATTAATTTAACATAATAATTGTAATCATTTAAGTACTTAGTACTATTTATTAAAATACCTATAGAATTATATTTTTAATTATTAGCTTATAAGTACTTAATTATTATTAATAATAATAATCTTTTATTTCAAAAAAATTAAATACAATTTACTTAAAATAAAAATTACAGTTATTAATTGACTACAAAAAATGTATACATAAGTAATCATTAATTGTCAAAATATTTGTATTCAAAGAACTATAAATGATAAAAAACCAAAATGATTTAGAGTATTAGTGGTATACTTCAAAATATATCTAGTTTTAGAAATATTCAATATGTATGTATATAAAATAAAGGTTATGGTTTATTTCTAGCTTTTGGAAGATTAATTTTAAAATTTTAAATTTTAAAATTATAACGTTCAATTAATTCTGGACAATTAACAATATTATTAAATAATTTATGTAAACAAATGTACTGTTATTTATTATGTGATATAAATTTAAATTTATTTTTCCGTAATAAAACAATATTATTATAATAATTTGTATCTTTTATCCAAAGGCATAATTAAAAAAAAAAAAAAACGTAAGCAAAATCAAAATAATTCTTTATACATTACATAGGAATATAAGTCATAAAAAATTATTTTAAATTTTCAAGAGACATATTGATTGATTTAATGAGTTTTTTTTTTCATAGAAGACTTGAAGACTTGTATAGTCTAGTTTGAAGGGTAGTAAAGAAAAATATATATATTTTTTTTTAAATTTAATATTTTAATACTTTACAATTTATCGACATAATCTTATGTAATAAAATGTTTTTAATTATAAAATAATAACCAAAATTAAAGAAATAATACTTCTATGTTTTGGTATTCATTTTTGTTAGTAATAAACAATCACTTTGAATGATTTAAAGTAGTTAATTTAATCATCATTGTATTAAATATGGTCTATAAATGTTATAAAATGATATTAATGAACCTATACACAAAAAAAAATTTTGTTTTATAATAATTACACAAAGTGCACAATAGGTGTAGGTATTGTCCATTTCATGAAATGAATGACCATGTATTGTATTTTCGTCAAAATTCACGATCTGGACGAATTTCACTATGTGGATATCCAGTTCATGAAAATAGCGATTTCACTAAGTGGATGCAACATATATATAGAAATACCTATGTATAAACAAATTGGTACTTATATCTACATGTATTGTAAAATTATCAAATTTTTGTTTACAGATTTTAGCTCGAATGATGTTGTGCAGAATGAATTAACAGTAGGATTAACAGCAGCTAATGATTACCCTAGTAATTACAATGCGTGGAATCATTGTTTTTGTGTTATTCAAAGATCTCTTGATCATGGAAATTTTGCCTTGATCGCTCAACAGTGGGAAATCACCAAAGTTTGGTGTTGTGAACATGTATCTGACCATAGTTGTATGCAATACAGACAGCGATTACTTAAATATTTAGTTACTGACAAAAGGTGTATACAACATCTTAAAAGTTGTGCATCAAAGTTACTTTTGCGTTTTTTTAATTCCGATGAGAGACATAAATTGATGAGGCCATCAGAAGATTATATTGGTGAAACTATTGGAGTTATATTAGATGAATTATATTTTAATGAAGATCTGATTGCGATGTATCAAAATCACGAATCTCTATGGAATCATCGAAGGTTCTTATGTTACTTATTAGTAAATATTTATAGTACAGATTGTATCAAAGAAGTGTTAATGAATAATGAAAAGAGGGTTTGTACCAATTTTTTAAAAGGTAATGAAATGTTCGTTAAAAAATATGTTTTGTGGCTTCAAACCAAATTGTGCATTTCTATACAATTACTTTAACTATATTGAATTAATTTTTTTAAGTTTTACCACAATTCTGTTTATCAAACAACAGTTAATGCATTTATTACCTAGTTATTTACCATCTATCATTTATTAACTAATAATTAATTCAACCACATAAGAAGTTAAGAATATGAAAATTAAAATTGCCTTTAGTTAAAGTATTTATTTCTATTCATATGATTCAAGAAAATTTGACAAAAACATTGTCTGTTATAATTTCTTAATCATATTTTTAAACTATAGTCACTTTCATTTTTGTGCTAATAATTAAATTTTGATGTTTCATATTAACAAGTAAGTAATTATTTTTATTGCTTGTTTATCTCACACATCAATAAGTGCAAATTAATATTACTACAAATCAAAAAAAAAAACACCATGTAATAAATTTGAATATTTAATTAATTGTTTACTTTATATTAAACAAACTTTAATTAAAAAAATAATAATTCTGTTTTAATTTTTAATGAATAATATGTGCTTGTGTATATACTGATGCTATACTATAATATTGTATTATTATTATTTGTTATGTAGGGATATTTAAATAAACCATGGGAAAAGATATAAATCACTTGTTCAACTCAACAATAGATATTAGGTATCTACTATAATACTGTAAATATATAGTTAAAACTATTTGAAAATATTGTTTAGGATACAAATGTTTAAATATCAAATAATCAATTAGTAATTTTTCAATAAATATACAGCTATAAAAAATGATTCATTTTTGTAAAGACTATTTATCAATAGTCAAAAATAGTATAAAGAGTATCTATTAGATGATATCAATGTCAATATAGCTAATAATAAATACTATTTTTTCAAAAGTTTACTTGACATTTATAGTACAGATAGTGGTAATTTACAAAAATGTCTAAAATATTATAAAATAACTAGTTGAAATTTGCTGCAACTCTTGCAATTACTGCCATTTATATTTTTAATTATTTAGCCAAGGGAATTTTTTGTATTCAAGTAAATGATTTATGTAATTATTATAATATAAAAACATGATTAAATATACTTCATATATGTAATCAAAACATTTAATGATATGCAACACAAATGGCCCTAAAGTTGATCTGCTTATATGCTTATTTTACAGATGATTTTAAAAAAAATAGTATAATGACTAACTTCATATTTTGTTTGAATAATTATACAATTATATATTTCTTATGACCTAAAACTTTTGATTCAAATTAAAGTTCACATCTGGAATACTATAAAATTATATTAGGTTTTCCTTAAATATTTCAAGTTTAAAGTCAATATTCTATGTTTTAAAAATTGACTATTTTTCATTGTACATATACTATTTGTATCATCTCCTCAATACACTTTATTCATATTTCTGCAATTAAAACTTTCATAAAGACTTACAATTTGCATTTTTAATATTTAATAAATGGGTTAAAATTAAATTTCACATTTAGTTTTTACTTATTTCATTTTAAATTGACAATACAAGTTAAGTACTTAGTATAACATTATTTAATAAAATCATCAAAACTGGGTAGTAGGTATATAAAATTAGTTAAAATTAATTTAAATTCTTTTTAACCAATAATAGCAAGTTCATTTTTAGAAAATGCATGTATTATTTATCAATGAGTGTATTTTAAATGAATTTATCAAGGTTTACTCAAGGAATATAATTGATAAAATAATATACATGTATATATATATATATATTTATTGCAGTTGTATCATCCATTTTTTTTATTAAATAAATAGAATATTGTCAGTTGTTCCACAATGACAGTAATAATCATGATAAATTTGAAATATTTTATTTAATGAACAAAGTTAATTTTGAGAGCATCCTACACCAAAGTTTGTTTATAAATTGTTAAAAAATATATAGGTACTAATTTTAGAATATTGATGAAAGTAGATGTACTATAACATTAATATAAGTTTATTTATAATTTAAATTGTATTATCAGTTATTATTTCTTGTTAAAAATAAAATAATACCTTATGAAATTTTTCAAATCCTAATAAAGATCATATTAAGTCCTCAATTAATTATCCTGTTCTACCACATTTAAAAATTCTAAGTTTGTTGTCCATTGTACATTTCATAATATTATTATACTGGTGCTACATTAAACACAAACCAAATGTGTATGAAACTAATACAATGGAAAAATATAACATATTTAAGAAATATTCTAAAAATAAAGTTTTTCAAAAAACCAGCTGCCACAGTTGTTGATGTAAAAAAGTTTACATTAAATGTGGTAGACTATGTATTAAGTGCTCCATACTTCATTTACAAATATCTACTTACTATAGTATTCATAAATTAATATTTTGAGAATAAAAATTATATATATTTTAAAACACATACCTACAATATAAAGTAACAATTCTTATTAGTTATTATGAATTATTGATAAATGTATACACAATTTGTATAAATAAAAAATACTATAAGAAATTGAATGTGCTTTATATTTTTCAAAGTTGAATACAATAGGTATTTGTATACATTGTAACTAAAAATTTACTAGTAAAGATTACAATATTATTAATGTGCATTACACATCCTAATCAACGTGTATCATAACTTTAATTGGATTTCCAACTCCAGTCTCTGCTGTTTTAAAAGCTTCTAATGATTCTTCAATTGTATAATGATGAGTTATTAATGGACTCAGATTAACTTTTCCTGAAGAGATTAATGATAATGCATCTTGATAACTAAAACAAATTTTAAATCATATCAAGTCATTATTTGAATAATATTGTATTAGTAAGAAAAAATGTATTTATTAATATACTCATTGGCATAGCGGAAGACTCCTTTAATGTCTACTTCTCTAGCTAATGCATTAAACAAAGGTAGTTCAACATTTTTTGATGCTCCCATTCCAACAATCATTAGTACTCCTCCAGATTTTGTTAACTAAAACATAATATGGGAATATTATAAACTAATTTATATAAGCTCACAATTCTGAAAAGTTTGGAAGGTGAACTACTTTTCAAACACTTTAAAAAGACTTGCAAAACCTTTCAAACTCTAAACTTTGGGCTGACTTCAAAGGTTTTTTAACTATAGAGACTTAACATTGAAATTTGCAAGACATACATGGTATAATATATTATATTACTTTATAATTCTCAAAATTGTTGGTTGGAATTATTTGAATATTTTTACGTTTTTAATTAAATTAGTATTTTGAAAATTAAATATACAAGATCATAAAGATAATATTTACATTCATGTGTAACTTATATATATATATATATTAGCTATCTACATTATATTTTACAAATGTATAATTTATGAAGTAATAAACTAAATTGTTTTAGTTTTTTTAGTACTGAAATACATATATATATTAGCTATATTTACATTATATTTTACAAATTTAAACTTTATGAAGTAATAAACTAAATTGTTTTAGTTTTTTAGTACTGTATTGAATATAATTTATATATTGGTATTTTAGGTCCTAATACGGCCATATTTCATATTTCATATTAAAAAAAAAAAATTAAATAGTTAAATTTAATATAGATGGTAATTTTTGTTTCTAATATATTTTTTATATTATTATAATATATATTTATTTTTATTTTAAACCGGCAATCCCTTTTTTATTTAAAATTTCATTACAGGGTGCCTTACCAATATCGAGTATAGACTAAATAGTTAGCTATTATTATTTAAAATGAGTAGAACAAGGTAGTGACTAGTGAATGTAAAAATAACATGGAATACGGCAGGCTCAACCATAAAATATTTACAACAATTCTAACATCTATATGCAAATATAATTATAATATATTTATGTATCAGTCAATATTTGACCATAGTAATTTACTATATGTACTCACTTCAATTCCCATTTTCATTGTCTGCTGGAAACCACTACAATCAATAGTAACATCAGGAAGTTCGTTATTCAATTCAAATCTCATATTTTCTATTGCTTGTTCATCAGATTCTCCTTTATTGATTTGAATTACTTTAAAAGCACCCATTTTTTTAGCTACATTCAATCGGTAATCTGTAAGATCTGTTATAAAAATTTTTGAAGCACCCATTGCTTTTGCAGTGGCTAATGTGACCAAACCAATGGGCCCAGCTCCTAAAATTAGTACAGAAGAACCAACCGTAACACCTCCTCTTTTGCAAGCATGTACACCAACAGAAAGTGGTTCTAACATGGCACCGTCTTCTAAAGTCATATGTCGTGGTAACCTGCAATATTTACACAAAATTTTATTATCAATAAATTATAGAACCAAAATCTTACTTGTAACAAAAATCAGCAGCATGAACATAATAACGAGTTAAATTTCCATCTATTGGTGGTGTAGCGCAAAATTTCATATCAAGGCATAAATTGTACTTGCCATTTTTGCAAAATGTACACATACGGCATGATACACCCGGTTCAATGGCCACTCTATCACCTATGATACAAAAATGTTTTTAAAAACTTTTTAATAGTAAATTAATTTTAAATATTTTTATACCGACCAATAGAAAGATTTGTCACTCCTTCTCCTAGTTTCACTACAATTCCACTAGCTTCATGTCCAATAATCATTGGTTCGTTAACAACATAATTACCAATACTACCGTGTACTAAATAATGGACATCTGAACCGCATATTCCAACACGTTGAATTTTCAATAATACTTCTACAAGATTTATGATTAAGTAATACAATAGACATTTTAGCATTAAATTATAAGTAGTTGATAATTTCTTACCATTATAGCCAGGTTTTGGTATGGGCCGTTGTTCCTAATAATTATAAAAGAAAACAATTAAGTAATAAAATCTTTAAATATCACTAAATTATAATATTATCAAATATGTACTAACAAGTCTTAAATCTCTCACACCATAAAGAACTGAAGTCAAATTATCCTGGTCGTCCATATTGTCTAAAAATAATAAAATATTTTTTACAGAATTCTAAATTGAATACTTATAATGGTAAGCATTATCTTGATTTAATAGTAGTATTTAACTTAGTTACAGTAAAACTTCCGTTAACGGTAATTCTTTTTGGTCATGTCAAGTGTTATGCTTCTATAAGAAACCTCTAAATAGCGGTAATTATTTCTGATCTCTTCGGGGACCATTATATGGAAGTTTTAATGTATAACAACAGAATAGAATATGTATACCTATATTATGTACTGCATTGCACACAATAATATATAATACAAATTATTGTAATGAATACAATACAAGTATACTAGACCACAATAAATTATATAAGTAGGTAGGCATTACTAAGTAAAAACTGAGTCCTTACAATATTCCTTGGCTATGGTAAACTGATATTATTTCAGTAGATTTTTGACATTAAATGATGTACCTAGTTGCTGTTTATAGTGTGTAGAAATCGGACAATTTTAAAAATAAGTACCTATATCTCTATAGGTGGTACGGAATATAAATAATTTTAGTGGATAATGAATCTATAACGCGGCTGTTATATACTCGGGATGGCTGTGAAACGTGTACTATAAAAAAAATAGTATAATATACCTAACATTAAATACATTAATTAAGCATATACGTACCAAATATCAATAATTTGTTTTAAAATGGTTGGAAAACTATTTAATAAACCTGACCGGTGTAGTGTCGAGTGTCTACCATAGAAATGAATATTATACTGTATTGAATTTCGGTAGGACCACACAACAGTGTATAAAATCTCGTCAACGATTATCGAATGAAACGTTGCATCAGAATCATCAAGCATTTATACGTGGGTCAGGCGTGCGCGCGTACGTCTCTATGGCACAATCAGGGTGCGCACAGTGTCGGTTTGACGTCTAAAAAAAAAAAAATAATAATTTTTTCGAGCATCGGTAAAATACTAAAATGTATACTGACTAATGTCATGCGCAACTCATGCCTCGTGTTTATTGTATGATTTTTAATTACGAATTATTACGTTCAGGAATTAATAACACTGTTATTTTCGTTCCAGAAATTTATATCCCGGAATATTATGTTTCTGATTATTGCAGTCTTTTAAAAAGCTTACAAAAATAAAGTGAAAATTACTACAATTGGCTCTATTTTTTTTTTTTTTTTTTTTAACATTAAATACAATTTTGATGAACGTCTATTTTATACATTTTGGTTTGGCCAAAAAATTATCATGTAAATCTGAAAATAATACCCGTCCCAAAATTATGTTAATTTTGACTATTTATATTCAAATTTAAACTTTAAACGTGTTTATGAAAAAACTACTACACAATACCTAGGTACTACTTTAAACTATTTTTGTACCTTTAAGTACACCTTTGATGAACCCCTAGTCAAATGTTTAAGGTTTTCCAATCGGCCAAATCAATTTTTTTCACATAAATATATTTTTATTTTATGTTCCCTCAGCTAAAAATAAAAAAAACTTATAATATTTTGACTATAGTACGAGCATATAAATTATGTGAATATATATAAAAAAAATTAAAAATTAATAAAACCTATTGATAAGATTAAGTTATTTCTGGGGTTGGATCTTATTTTTAAACCCTGTATATAGTTAATATAACAAATATAAAAAATCATTTTGAATTTAAAACATATGTATTGTATGTAATTGATGGTTTATTTAACCTTTGAGTTATATTAAAAAAAATGGGTTTTATCTAGAACTTATTTAAAGTGTTGGCTCTTTTCTAAATTGGGATGATATTCCACAAGGATTTTCCTTGTAAAATTTTTTTTTAATTGGGGTACATGTTATATTATGGTTAACTATTTGAAATATTAGTGACATTATTAATTATTAAGTAGAAATTACCAAAGTTCACCTTTATACAATTAGTATAATTATTATCATAGAAATTTAAGATAAATATCTGAATTCTATTGAGCCTTGAGAAATACATTAAAAAAGATCTATAATTAAATGTTTGTTCTTATTTTAACTATGCACTTCTTATCAGACATCCGCATTAAAAAACACAGACCCAAAATTTAAAATAATTTAATTTGATTTTTATGTTTTCAATGATATGTCTGTAGAGCTCCACATTCAGGCTATGATGTTAAAATAAATATGGTTAGTATATAAATACTGGAAGAGGATTAAACAAAATATAAAATGTACAAGTATGAAATGCTTAGTAGTAAATAATAAGTTTGATTTCCATGAAATCATTCAGAATATACATTTTAAAATTAGTTCAATAAATTTCCGCATGAAAAACTTATATTGTACCTCAAAAAATGCTATCAAGTCATATATTTTACATCTGAAATATTAATATTATATTATTACATTAAATATCAATACATTAAATAATGGTTGTATACTTCAATGCATTTGAATGAATAGGAAAATACTGTACCAGTTATTTAACTAATACCTATTATTATAGTTCATTTGAACAACTATTAATAAATAATGATAGTGGGTATTCAAAGTATTATACCTATATTATAATTGAGCATTGGTTATATAATACATTTATTATTCTATAATCAATAACAGGTACCTATAGTTTATAATTGTATCATATAAATATGAGCAACTCAATAAAATATCTATAATATATATTTACAATAAATTTGTAACAGTAAACTTTAAACTTAGAAAACAATGAATAAATTTGTTCCAATTTTAAACAATACTTAAAATGAATAATTAATATATAAAATTAAACTTCAAGAGTATACTTATAAAGTATAATATGAACTACTAAGTTATTTTTAAATATTTCTACCCATACAATGATAATGAACAAATAAAAAAATGAAGAAAAATAATAATAATACATTTTAAGTACACTATTAACTTGTACAACATGATATTATATTAGAATTATTTATACTATCATTATTCGGAACTTCTTCTGGATCAATTTCAAGTTTTAAATTGACTGGTGGATTTGAACTTTCTAACATTTCTATTAAATTTCGACCAATATTTGTGAACAAATCTTGAATACCTAAAAATTAATTAAAATATATATAGGTACTTTATAATTTATCTTTTAATAAGACATATAATTTTATTTTAACTATCTATAAATAATTGAATTGTTCTTAAAAATATTAATATTTTTAATTTGTTTTACATATTTGTTTATTTTAAAAATATGAAAAACAAAAAGATTTAAAATCCCAAATGTATCAATATCAACAATATTTAATTGTGGTTATAATTATAAACAATTTAGGAAAATTGTCTTATTTAAATATTATACAAATAAAAAACATATCCATCGAATACATAATCTCCTTTTCATTTTTGAAGTCTATAAAATTATATATTTATGCACTGACAAGCAATAATATTAATGCAAAAAAAATGTCTACTATTTTTTTTTTTAATTAACAGTAGAATATTTTTATTTTAGAAATAATATTAAAATCATTAGATTCTATAATAATCATACTCATAATAATCGAATAGTGTTTTTAGACTTTACCATAAAAATTAGAGGTACAGTGTGACAAGATAAGTTTTTTTCTTTAATTATATTAATTGCACATTTAACATTCATTAGGAATAGGGACGCATTTAAGTTAAATTGTAAGATACATTGATTCAGTGATTATGAATCCATCTCTAGATAGTAGAAATATTTAAATCCTAACCCATGCATATTTTTTCATTGAGTTTTTAGGACATTTAATAGGCAATAATGGACTTGAACCAATTAGTCTGTGGAAAAGAAGAGCTATTTGTGATATTTTCCTCAAGTAATTTTTAATACAGATTTTTATTCATTATAAATTATAAATATTAAGAAATAAGATTAATATTTCTATCCTATAAAATATATATAAATTATGAAAGGTCTGAATAAAGAAAAACATAATATAATTGAATATAATATATACATTTTAAATTAAACTTGTAAGCTTATAATAATTTTGATTTATTTTATAGTTGGTGAATTGTACTACTGCTCTCACCTTAATACTGAGTGATAAGACTTTAAAATTTAGTAAATGGGTTTCTATATTTTTTCTTAATATAAACCAAAAACTATGGTATCATTATTGGTCAAACAGTTTTCTTGAAACTAATTCTGTTTCTAAACTTTAGATTTTTAGATTTTTTGTTTTAAAAAAAAATTAATCTATATTTTTTAATGAAGGTCATAATACCATAATGAAGAAAAATCAATATTCAAAGAATTTTAAGAGATTATGAAACATTAAAACGCCATCAAAATATTGAAACCTATAAATACACTCGTGTGGGTGATTTTAGTAGGGTATTTAATATAAAACACATCATAAGTTTTCTATTTTTTTATTATATATTTTATATTATTTATCTAAAACTTGTAATACTCATACAAGTTATATAATTTTAAATAAATTTTACCTGAGTTAGAATAAGCACTAGTTTCCCAATAGTGAGCATTAACTGAATTGGCAAATTCTTTAGCCTCTTCATACATAATTGTCCTTGAATCTATTAAATCTGTTTTGTTTCCAACTACATAATAAATTACAGGAGTATCTGTATTCTTTTTTACTTCTGAAATTAATACATACATTATAATAGTATAATAAAATAAATCGAATTTAGTATGATTCACCATTGATCCAATCTTTAACTTGATTAAATGATTCTCTATCTGATACATCAAAAATAATAGCAACAGCATCTGCATTTCTATAGTACATTGGTACTAAACTACGAAACCGTTCTTGACCAGCTGTATCCCATACCTTAAAAAAAAAAAAAAACAAAACATTATTATAGGTACTTGTAAGTTATTATATTTTCTAAAATTATAACTTGTAACTAATGTTGCGATTTAAAAATTCAGCATACATTGGAACATACATTATTTGTGTAAAGTTGTGTTTATTCAGATAAATATCTTAATATTGATATTTAATATACAGTTTAAAGCAAGTCTTTAATATTTGAAATTATGTTGTAAAATATGCTCTAATAAAATATTTATACTTTAAATAAAACAAACAAAATTATAGGTAAGCTAAATAACCCAAGTTATAATATAGGTATATTTGACTATTAGCTATCAGCTTATAATTAAAAAAAAATAATTGTTTTATAATTTTTAACTAATATAATATTACTTTTAAAGTAATTTGATAGTTCTGTATTGTAACTTTTGCATACATAAATGAAGCACCAATTGTTGCTTCACATTCGTTTTTGTAGTCATCTTTTATGTATCTGGTAATTATACTTGATTTTCCAACTCCTGAAATATGTATAAACACATAACATATAGAGAAATCAAAAAAATCTTACCAGGGAATATATATTTTAAATATTATTATTACATAATATTAATAAATTAGTATCATTGTATAGTACATTTTTTCTATAGATTTTATTAATTTATTTTATTTTATTGTAAAAAAAAACATAGAATTAGCTAGTAAAGTTAGTATTACTTACTAAAATCTGAAACTTATTGCAAAATTTGATTATTTATCTACATGTATGTAGGTACTGCCATTTGTTAATTGCAATAAATTCCTCAAGTATTAAATATAAATTATTTTAAAAAAATGAAAGCAAAAGGTATTGGTAATTAGTATGATCAACATTTATATATTCTTTGTTGTTAAAAAAATATTAGTAAAGTAGTCAATACTAAAATTTGTTTTATGATAATATAACGGGCCTATATAATATGTAAAATATATAATTTTATTTTGCATATTTGCCGTTTTAAGTATATTTTACGATATTGAGCGTTTTTAGAGTATATTTCAGGGATTTTGTAAATTTCTAATATATTTTAAACTTGACGAATTAAAAATCAAAAAATAATTGTTCAAGAATTTGAAATATAAATGTGCCATATAGTGGAGTACAAAATACAACTCAGTCGAATATCTTGACGATAAACTCACATCGAATATCCACATTAATAATAACCTCACACAAGGATATGCTAAAATGAAAATTTTCTATCCTCTAGTCAACTCAAAATCAACACTTCAAATTAAATCATGCCTCCTCTTATACACTTTAATAATCAGGCCACTGATATGCCTGTTCAATATAGGCTGCTGCTTCACGTACTAAGATAAATAGGATCCAAGTTCTTCAAAATAAGTTTCTAAGAATGCCTTAAAGCTCTGTGGTACATGAGAAATTGTCACTTATAATGATATGGGAATGCCCTTATTTTAAATGCATGGATCAAAACTCAATTTAAAAACTTTCACACCAAGCTGAAAAATTCGGACAGAGCCTGCCATTACAACCTATAGAAAAAAAAAACACTCATAGACGTCTGCAGCCTCGACTCCCTCAAGACATTTTCACAACAGATACCAAAAATTAGCCATCAGAAGATAATAATCATAATTAATATGCTAAGTTCTATTATACTAACAATTACCGCTGTGAACATCATTATTATCCTATGACTATTAACATATCAATTCAAATAATTAGTAACTAATATAAATGTTAAACATATATACTTGTAATAGTACCAGGTGTGCTGAAACATTTTAGTTTAAATAAATAATAATAAAAAAAAAATATATGAAATTTTAGATATTTATTTATTAATTTGTTTCACTAAAATAAGTTGTTATGACTTATTCAATTTACCTATTAATATATCAGTAATGTTATATTGGAATGTCTAAGTATTTTATTGTACCTTTGATATGACTTTGATTTTATTTGAGTTATCATAATAACTGCAGTAGTGCAGTCGTGATTTATACTCGTTTGTTGTGTTAAATCGATTAATTTTGGTAATTTTCATTTCAGAATTGCATAATAGGTTTTTAAAGCATACCTATTTCTGTAAGCCCTAGTTATTATTTATAAAAAGTGTAACAGAAATAGAATAATAATGTTCCCAAGAGTGAAGGAATATTTTTAATCTTAATAAGATTTATAATATGTTAAAGAGAATTCTGTTCAACTCAGAATTGTTTTTTGAACACAATGGTTTATTATTGGTTTTGCCTTTAAAAACTTTAATTACCTACTTATCCATTATCCGTATGATATCTAAGTATGTAATCTATGTTTTTTTATAATTTCCAATAATGCAGTGCACATACTTAATCAGTTGACCATTGATCTATGTTGTATTGTAAAATAAATATATGAGTATATATATATATATATATAATATTGATTCAAGAGAATATGTGCATAATCATAACCTACATACTTGTTTATAAAAACTATATTATGCTTAAATTGAATAAAATGAGCAAAATCTACAGTTTTTTAAAACTACTAGGTTAATTTATAATTAAATATAAATACCTAATAAAATAAATTTTAAACTCCTAATTAAAGTTTATAGATAATTACTTATTTATATGTATTCCATTTGTACCTACCAAATATGTCAAGTAAAAGTTATGTTTTAATATTTATAATTAACTAAAATCTCTTTTTTTTTAATTTCTACTATACTAATATCGAGGTTAGTACTGCATATTTTAATTAGGTAATAATAATAAATAATTTCTGGCATTTTAATGTGGTTAATATATTCAAATTTGTATGATATTTTAACATATGATATAAAAATTATGGAATTTATTATTTGAATACATTTATTTACAAAACATATGTGTCTATATATGTTTATATAAAGACCTAACTAGCATCTATATTACATTATTAAATAAATAACTTAAAATCTCTTGAATAGATACAAAAATTAAAGTTAAATTTAAGTAGGTAGCTAAGACATTTTTTAGGGAAGGGTGTAGGAACTTAATTTATGTTTATTTTCCAATTGGTAGAGTCTCTTATTAAATCCTTAACAAGCATATTTCCAGAATATTTCTATTGGCAAAAGTTAATAATAGGTACCTATAAATTAATAATTAATATCCACTATTGAATAAATGGATTCTCGAGTTTGTTGGATTGTATGGGTAGATAGTGAAAATCAGAACAGCTGAATAAACAATAAACTATTATTTATAATTAACATACCTTGAGAGCCCATAAATACTAATTTGGCAGTTAGCCTCTTCATATTAGGTACAGTTATTTTTATTATTTTTGAAATAAGAATTGTTCAAAATGAATTATAAATATTATTAGAAAACCATTTAAACTATACAATAATCAATAAACCAATTTAAATTAGATAAATTTTAAAATAAAATAATACGTTTATTAAACACTGAAAATTAAATAAAGATTAACTTACTATAAACATAAAAGTCACTTGAAGTTACTGTATAATACAATAGTATCTACTGTATATAGTACCTACTTCATAATTGAGAGAACAGCTGAATATTACATAATCACGTAAAATGTGCAACCAAGGCAGTTATAATACCAGTATTATAATGTGGATGGTGGAATGAGAATCACAATATAGAATCTACTGTTTGAAAACAACGGGTTTCTTATTGATTGGTACTATGTACAAAGTACAACTCATAAACACATAAACTCATAATCATAAACCGGACACCGGTAAACCGAACAAAAACAGATCTTATCAACATTCAATAAATAAATTCTGGGGCCACAGAGTAAGATAATGGTCTTAATTCGTGGACATAGCTACAGACCATGTTGATATTATGCATAGATAATAAAAAAAAAAATCATATTATTGCGACCAAATACATGGGCATTATAGAATAATTCTATTATGCCTGTGTTAAAATGTTATGCTATTCTTTCATAGATGTCATAGTTAAAGATATACTTCTTGGTATTAATAAAACAATCTTGAAAATGGAATGGTTAGGTGGGTATTGTCTGTCTCTTGCAGCTCTTCTATAAAAAAAAATCTCGGCCCGGCGCACTTTGGGGTGTTACTATTAACTATAATATTTTAGGCGCCATTAGAATGTCTTGTCCGTTTATTTAATATATGTGATTAGCTATGGGTTAGCGTTCCTAAATAATCTTTATTTTATAACGAAAGAACGGGATGAATGCGGGGGACCGAAACCATAGTATGACCTAACCTTTTGTTTTTATTGGTTCAAACTTCAAATCGTAAATAATACAAAACATTCTATTACCCGTATATGGTTCTAATGCAAATATGGCTTTATTTATTTATAATAGTTCACTTTTTACTTTCAAGAAAAACAATTAAATCGATGCTCACGGTTGATGTCACGGACAATTTATTATAGTGATCACTCCATCATACTTGCTTTTACGATATACTTCGTGGTTCTCGATACATTTCTTTTAGATTCTAAATGAAGCGAGGGAACTATTGGTTTTACTACATGTTTTATCTGTCTGTAAACAATTTTTTTCCTAGAAATCTCGCCCCAATTAAAACATCATAAGAGACCATGTTGCATTTTGGCTCTAGTTAAAACTTTAAAAAGGTCATTTTTTGAAATTCTGACTAATATTCTTCGAGATTATGAGGAAAAACTAGCTAGTTTTTTAGATTAAAAATAAGATTGCCATTGGCAACTAATTTTATTTATCTTTTGGTATTGTTAGTTTTTATTATTTTAATCTTTTTTTAAACAATCGTTGTTGCTGCGAAAACGCATATTTTTGAAAAGCATTACTATTGACCAAACTCCGCTCAGAATCGTTTATTTTCCGTTAGCAAAACGATTAATTATCGTTGCGAATGTACATAAATAAATAAATTATATTCCCCTCTATATCTTACATTCCCAACTTTTTACCTACAACAGTGGTAAAACATATATTATTATTTTCAACAATAATAAACAAATATGTATCCAAATATTGTGAATATTGTGTACTTAATCGTACACCGACTAAACGGACTAGATTTGGCATTCCATTGCATGCCAAAGACAAATGGGAAAAAGCAATTGCCAAAGAATTAAAAAATAATTTAAAAATTTATTCTGTTCATTTTAGCCATGATAATGTTGTGGAAACATGGGAACCTGGCATTTGAGAAAATAAATATTTTATCAGAAATAATAATAATAATACGATTATAATATTTTTAACATTTTATAAAATACATATTAAATATTCTTATTACATTGTATGTTTTATAAGAATAACAGCTTCATTTTCAATTATGCATATTCATATTTATCCCACCTGACTATATTTATGCGGAACTCTGTACTACGTGTACCGGTTTGTTGATGCAATTTAAATACTGGTGGTCGAATATCTGACCAATAGTGTAGGTACCATGAGAGCGCTAATTGTATAATTTCTTACTGGTATGACATTGAGAACAGTGGTACTATCCTATTCTATTCGAGATTCTATTCAATTGATAAGCTATTATCACCACTCGTCGTCTAGGTGAATTAATAAGGTGCACGATTAAATATATACAAAGATATACATTATCAAAGATATAAAAATTATTATTATTTTTAATTTCTACCATTTGTGAGCATTTAAATTATTCAAGTGCACATAAACATCCACTTATACATGTTGGATTTATTGTCAAAAGTAAATCAATATATTTTCCAATTAATTTCATTGATTAAAATTTTTTTAAAAACATAGAAGTGAGTTACTTGGGGCATCTGGTCAACTTGTTTTTCATTTAAAAATAATATGTACGGGATTTTCCTTTTTTTATTTATTTCTCATCACACGTTATCGTTTTTTAGAAGATCTGATTTTATCTTTTTATTCCTGTCGATAGTAATATTTTCGGACAAAATACTATTGGCTCGAATATTTTTCGACTTAAATACGGTTCGGCCAAAATACTATTCGACTGATTTATTTTCGGTTGTTTTATACACTCCCGATTATTCTAATGTCTGTGATAATGACTAAACAAAAAACAGATAAGGTTATTGTGATAAAAAAATATTTTGCCGCTTTTTCTTCAATCTCTCCATTCTGTTCATATCTTCATTATCTTTTTTATTATTAATTATCATAGATTATTATCTTTATTATTTGTGTTAATTATTAGTATAAATATTATAAACTATTAAATTTCATCAGAGAAAGCTGAAAGCCCTTTCATATAATATATAAAGTCCATAATATATAGTAATTAGTTATTCATTTAAAATCCATTTAAAAATGGATTACTTAGACCCGGAAGAAGAATTTGAAATGATGCATGCTGACGAATTAGAGTTGATGAATGAGATGGAAACAGACTTCGAAAAAGATGGTAAATTTGATTATATTTGTGCCTTGTTCAAATGACCAGTTTCGGCCGTCGTGTTTTTTTTTAATTGTATTAAATGGAGTAACCTCAGGATGGCAAAAAATACTATGGTTTCAGTAAACCTGAGGGCTTTAAGTTTCTACTGGTGGATAGCTTAAGTCCAGTAGGTATGTGGTGTTGTTTTTAGGGTGGGAGAAATTCACTTTATGTTTCTAAAAGTATTTCCTGTAAGGAAAATTCCTCATTTTAAATTAATGACATCTATATTTTTATTTAATTTTTTTTTGTCATTTTTAAATAAATTGTATATCAAATTATGTTATATTTAAAGTATAAAGAATAATTATCTATATAACGTATTTGTCATGTAAAAATTATTAAAGTTAAATTTTAAATTTTTTAATAAACTACAATGTAATATTCACAATGTTACCTGTACTAATTAACACTGATTCAAAAATTAAAATTACAACAATCCATCACTTGATTTTAAATTTCCATTTGATTATTTCTTCTACACTTAAAAAAATTCTGTAGGGACTATTTGATCATATAATTGTATTTTGTTAATTCTTACTCGGTGGTGACAATATAAAAACATATTAATTATAATAGATACAATACACCATTAAAAATGGATGTTTATATTTACTTATGGTATATACATACCTAACTAGATTGCATTATCTATATTATACTAGTGATATTAACTTATTTTTTATAATATTTATTGTTACTTACAGTTCCTAAAATATTTACACCTAAAGATTCAAAAAGAAGTTTGAATTTTTCTTCTCAAGAGAATGACCTATCAGAGCAATATTTGAACTCGTCTAGTGAATTACATGGAGTATCCCCTCTATCTCAGACATCAGTTGTTTCTTTTAATCTGGATGACAAGGATGACAATATCGAAAATGAAGTACTAATGTTGTTTTTATTTAGATTATTAAATATTAGATTTTCAGGAATGTTGCAACATTAGGGATGAGAAAATAAGATTTAAATTAAGCAGTGTTTTACAAATATCATTAACAATTTTATTTATTGTACCCATTCATTGTTTGAACAATAATATTTGTAGAATCTTATTTATTTTATAAAACTTCATTAATTTTCAGACACAACAGATTGTTACACAGTCAAATGACAATAAAAGACCTTTTTGTGAACAAGAATTATTTGGAAATATAGACGATATTGATTTTGAAGTTGAAGAGTGTAAGCTTACAAAAAAACAATATAAATAAAACAAATTTTTAAAATTGTTATAATTGGGCGTTAAATTTTGTTTTATGTATAATTGGAATTTTACTTTTAGTGGAACCTGTATTAAAACGACAAAAAGTTGTTGAACAATTATCTGATAAAGAAATTAAACAGCAAGATCTAATAAAACAAATTATTGAAGAGAGACAAAAATTTAAATCTAGAAAAAGGACCAATTTTTTATCATCTATTTTATATAATAGTTCAAAGTAATTAAAATAAATACTATTAATTATTTTCATGATTGTAAACTCTTTAATGTTTAACGTTAAAAATATAAATTGAAAATTACTCTTTTTATAAATAAATAGCGATTTTACATGAGAACTGTATTTTAATTGTATTAATCATTTTATTGTGTTGTTTATATTTCATAGTGATACTCATTCATATCAGGGCATATCAAGAAGTGTTCCATCATGGTCATTTTTTCCTGCAACTGATGATGAAAATCAAAGAGTATATATACGTTTTAAATCTGAAGATGCTGTCGAAAATGAAGTATTTTATAAACTGTATACACATGTACAATTATTTTAATATTATAAATAAATTTTATTTATAATAATTTAGATTTCAAGTTTATCTTGGCATACAAAATCAGTACAGTTGCTTTCAGATCCTATAGATGAATTGAT